GCCTATCCAATGAGTTTATCATTCTCAGGACCATTTTTACTTGTCTTGCTTAGCAATGCCATGGTGGCGGAGGTGGAGACTCTTCACGCAGTGATCATTTCCAGCCTGCACCGCACTATCCCCCTCAGCACCATTTTGAACACACTCCACCCCCTCATCAATTTGAACATGAACCTTTCATACCCCCACCCCCACCCCCATCCCAACAGCATTATGAAACACCACATCACCCTAACCCACCCCCTCAACATCATGAATCTCCACACCACCCCCAACAGGAAAACCATCCACCCCCACCCCCACCCCCTCCTCACAGCTGGCCAACAGAGACGCCTCAAGGTTTTCAAGATGTTCCAGCAATTAAACATGTAGGCATTATTTGTGCAAATGTGTGCTTGTGTGTGTTTACTTTGGTATAAATTGTACCATGTGCAATTTATGCTACATGCATGTGTGTGTGCTGCATTGAAACATGTTTATTTGCATTACATTTCTTGTACTCTACTTTGAGTTGAAATTTCTGCTTTGTGCTTTGTGCATGCTGCCTCGTCCCGCTTATGATAAATCAGTCTAATCTCTTTATTTATACAGGTTTTAATACAAACTTAATGTATCAGTAAGCGTCCAAATTTAAGGGACTATTTTTGTAAATATTTTTAAATTACTGAGCTAATTACATATGTACATGCAAAGGCTTAATTTATACTTTTGTAAATATCAAAGTGCACTGAAACATCAAGCTTCTTTGTATTTTCCTATGGTGCCGCTGACAGCTTTCGTCATATGTGTAATTTATGGTTTAATGTTAATAGAAATGTCTATAATAATTTTGCAAACATTGATAGTATTGGTAATAGTTGCATAAAAGTATTGCTTTGGAAACTAACTTTTACAATACTGCTGTTAATTGGCATAGTGTTAGATAAGAATAGAGATATCTTTCCTTTTACAGCTGGGATAATTGTAGAATTAAGAAACCAAAAACATGAAACTTGATCCGAGATGAGAGGTCCATTACAGTTACAACATAAAAGGGGACAAAATTGCACTGCTTCACTAAGATGTTCAAATTTCTTGTCAAATATCTTGCTGTTTGTTAAGTCACTGAATTCTAATTTGTTACATTTCTTGCCTGCAAGTCTTAAATTCAGCCATTTAATGTTTTTAAGACTGTCTTGATCTCTTTTCAATCCATTTCCAGGTGGTGGAAGGGCTAGCCAATGGACTGTCAGATATTTACATCTCAGATCATGTTGTCTTGGATTCAAACCCAGAGGTTCAAGAAATTTCACATCAACAGGCATGGGAAAGAGGCGAAATTGATTACAGAGGTCGCGACAAGTTTGAAAATATCCAGAAGAAGATTCAAGAATCTATAAATGTGTTGAGAGATCCCACTGAGGCACCCATGGTTTTGTTTTAAGAGGCAAAAGAGGGCACTGTCCTCAAGACTTCATGTTAGAATTTTCCTTTTATGAGAGAACCTTAGAGATGGAGGCAGTTGTGGCCAAGAATGAAGGGTCAGTGTGTGGTGTTAAATGAACACCAGTTATGTTGTAAAGATTGAAACCAAAAAAAAATGATCCCATTGATTGGGCAAACCTTTCTCTTGTATTGAATACAGTCGAATAATATATTTGAAAGGAATTGTTTGTTTTACGTGGTATATAAACCCAAAATTTTATTGTAACTTGTGGGAAATGCATAGGGAGTGAAACCAAAAACAAAAGCATGAAAGTGATGATCCCATCCATCATGCAATCCTTTCTCTTGTGTTGAATACAACAGAATAATATATTTGAAAGGTATTGTTAGTTATACCCTGCTCATAAACCCAAAGGTTACTATAATTTTTGACAAATGCACTGAAAATTAAAATTAATAAAATCGAGAACAAATTCATGTTACAGGATCAATGTTGATATCTGAGCAGCTGTGTACCTACCCCTCCCCTATCCCAACAACAGTCAATTGATAACAAAGTAGGGTTAATGTTGGATTAGGGGAGGGGTAGGTGTACAGTTGTTTGGATACTGACAGTGATATATAGTAGCCTGTATTTAACTAAGTATTTTTGGTTTTGTGTCTTGTTTGTGAAATCTAAATTCACCCCACTCTGGGTTCGAGTATTCTCGAAAGAATCATGTTGTTTATGTCAAGGATAGATATCAAAAGATGTACTGCTTCTGTATTTTCTTTTTCAGTGAAATATTTAGGGATGTACATTTTTCTTTACATAAGAGCTCTATTTATTCATTTAGTGCAATTATTGAAAATGAGCTTAGGAATTTTGTGAAGTGTTTTATTTTATTGTGGTAATAATCTTGTGATAATCAGTATTTAGATTGTTTCTAGAGTGCTGTGAAATACGACAGTGCATGCAAACATGCAAACAATTGCGTCACTTAAATAAATAGGAGCTTAGTCAGATGTAAGAACCCTAGAAAACTCCCACATTCAAGACCACCATTTTGGTGTACTTAATTTCTGGTGGAACCTGAATTTTGGTTGTTAAGATCAACTTTCAATACTATACCCTGCAATCTTCTCTCAAGATTTTCAATTTCATTTCGTTTGTATTGCATGGCTTCTTTCAAAAATAATTACAACTATTGCACAAACATGAGCATTCTAAAATAGTAGGATTACATCATATCAAATCAAATTTGGTGCTCAGGAATAAAATAATAAACATGATGGTTTGAAACCATGTGAAGTTTTCATGATCCTGTAACTGGGGTATACCGAGTAGAGTTGTTTATCCAAGTTGGTTGTGGTTTGGCACTGATAATAACTATTAGTGCTAGACCTCCAGCAAACCCCTTGTGACTGATCTCCAGTCTTCCCCCTGGCAAATAAATGTGCACCCCGCAGCCAATATGACCCAACCAAAACATTTATTAAACAATAATGTGTCTAACAACTGCATTTTTGTCTCGCACCAGGGAGAAACATGAAATCTTTGTATCTTGTCACTGCTTCATGAGAATATGAACACATGCATTTCATTCCATTCTCACCTGTTCTGATAACACATGAAGTCAACAAACTGAGCAAGTTGAGCTTACACAATTAAAACTGCTTCTTTATGTTGAACAATAAAATATATTGTGGCCGAAACATTTTAAGACAGTGCTTGCCTCTGCCCCAGCCCTCACCTAGTACAAGGGTGGAGAACTGTGGCCTGAGAAGGGTACCTCTACCAAAAACTCTACGAAGCATCTGCCTTAAGGTGTACCCTGTTTTTTCTTTTCCATCTACATGGGTGAACTACAGATTAATTAACTTTTCCCATCCTCATGGCCTCTTGAAATAAACCCCCTTTTCAGCCTGGGAATTCTTTTTGTTGTAACTGGTTTTCTTTGATGCTTCAAGAACAGTAAAAATACCAAAATGATCACTTGGAAGGACACCAGATTTTGTCATTCTATCATCCACAACTGTTACCTCTTTCACTTTAAAGCCTGATAGTTTGCAAAAGACACGATCCAGGCGATCCTTCAAAGTTGATTCTCTCTCTCTCACAATGAATGGATTTCTCCTCTCGTCCCAAGTGTAACCATTACTGTCTGTATGTCCAGGAATTGCAAGCCACGCGTCAATCCACTGCACAGGAAGAACGACATCACCATCAAATTGACGTTCCAGATTCATATCACCCATCACACAAACATTTTCAAACGTAGAAAGCATTTTCACGGTCTCCTTTAGATGTTTTTCTCGCAATTTGGAAGATCTGCCAGAATGCTCCAAATGAGTTGTTGCAATCACAAACTTCCGTGTCTTTGGCGCCAAATTGAACTTGATTTCTGCGGTCAAAAGTTCACGCTGATATGGAGAATCTTCAAACGGGTAGGTCTGCCATTTTTCGATCGGAAATCTGCTTAAAATAACGACAAAATACCCAGGGTGTCTTTCAGCATCAGGCGGTGTTAGGTGATATCGAGAAAACCATGGCTGTTTTCGGAGTAATCCTAAGTTTACGCGAGTAACTTCTTGAAAAGTTAAAATATCAGGTTTGAGATCTTGCACGATTTTCCCCAGTGCTTCCATCCTTTCGGCCATTTTGTCCGGAGAAAACCAAATATTAAATGTAAGCATCTTGATTCTGATGGATCCAGCAGGTTTGTGAACAAAATCTGCACTATATTTCCTCCCGAATTTAGGAACACCGAAAAAAGAACGAAGCACAAAAACAGCAATAATCAGTACTGCGAGTATCAGCAATGGTCCACGAGGGATGTAATTCGCCGACATCTTTAGTAGTTCGACCCTTTTTGAGGAGAAAGACTTAGATAAAATGGTTAGGCTAGCTGCTGCAGTCGTGGCTAAAACCCCCAGGCATTCTTGTTTGTTTTCGCAGTCCACTAACCTCTGTTCGACACGGGGACCTGGTAACTGTTCACAGCCTTGTCATTGCGTGACATAACTTCTGGTTGTTTAAGCTTGTCACGCAAAACGATTCTTCCAAATTCTAATTAAAGCCAATTAACAAAAAGATTAAACGACAATTGCTTTAATGATTTGACATTTCTACTGATTGATTTGACATGTACAAATGGTGAAGGAGGGAAATCAATATTTATGTCTCGTTATGATAATACGAAAAAAATTCGATATTGAATATTTATTTCAAAATTCTTCAACTCCAGGGAGATTTTTAAGCTTTGACAGGCAGAAAAAGAAACAAATAAAAAATATACTCCTAACAACAAAAAACAACCACATACAGCGATGAAAACTCAACAGTGGATTTATCTCATTGACAATGTTCATTTCAAAACACTGGTAAATTTATGTGAATTTCAAACTCCAAGACGGGCTGGTAACATTATTAATTTTTTATGTACATTAAGTGTATTTAAATTGGACTAACTTAATATGCTATCAATTTTTCATGTCTATAATAAACGCAACCAACATTGACAATTAAGTTCTATGAAATAGATAGTTACATTTTAATATTATTGATTTATTTCATCCCAGGAAGTCAGACTACAGGTGCGGAAATGTTTTCTAGCTTTCACAATACGAGATAGATGTTCTGACAAAAACATACATGTTTGTTTTCTCAAAAACATGTAATATTTTCATGGTAATCCGACAGTTATTACAACATCAGCAATCAACACTAACTCTTCACTGGCTTGCAAGAATTACACAATTGACAGTTCGAAATGTACAAGTGACAGTTGAATGATATTACTTACAAACAAAGCTAGCGATTTGACTCGCTTGCTCTATTAAAATGATAATTTTTTCACTCTGTTCATAATGCCCCCTCTATGTACACATATCCTTTTTCAAATTCTACCCTGCTGGCAAGCTTTTTCTATCCAGCCTGTTAAAACACTCTTTACACAAATAAATTATCGGCACCTAAAGAAAATTTAAAATAGTACTGTCAAGTTCATTATTGATCACTGCAAAATTTGCATGATTCATTACCGGTACACCATTTGAAAGCAAAAATTATTTTCCATGATTGTTATTTATTGTCAGTTGCCGATATTTATTCCAAAAGCGCCGATAATCCTGAAAAACCAACTCCGTTTAAATCCAAAAATTATAATCTTTGCGCTAAAGAATATCAGCTCTCTTGCACGTTAATCTTTTTTAACACTCAGGAACACAAACATGAAACGTGTCGAAGTTGTATCTTAATTCTTGAGTGTAAAAGGCGAGGCAATTTTTTTGCGGTTTTAATTACACTGTCACACCTTCGTCGTGATCTTCTTGCAAGGCTTGTGTTTCCTCAGCTTGAATCGCCGGTGTCTCTTCGCTCTCCATCCACGTTTTTTTAGATTCCTTGTCTCGCTTGCACCAGCGTACCGTCAATAAAATCGATGCAACCAGGAACACAACAACCGCAAAACCGACAATCGCAAACCCGACAATTTTCACAATATTATTCCCATCTTTTTGTTTTGATGTGGAGCTTTCGGTGGTTTCTCTAGGCGTAGTGGGTGTGGCGAAAGGTTCCCCAAAGAGCTGTTTCACCCTGGCCATGGAGCCATTATTCGGTGCAGGTTTAATTCCGAGAATTTCACAGATCATGGGGTAAATATCCAGGAGCTTAAAAGAGTCTGAACTGAAGTTCTTTTTGAACGCCGGTCCGCGAGCGATCAAAAATGGGTACATGTCCTCGTCTTCAGTAGAGTAACCTTGTCCTCCTTTAATCATACCTTCCGTCAAGTTCGTCGACATTTTAGAGCTACGAGCGTACCAACCTTTCTCCATCAATACCACAACAGAGCCAATTCTTCGATTCTTTTTGAAATGCAGTTTTTCCGGAACATCTTTTTTCCAGTACACTTTGAAACGCTTCAGGTTTCTTTCCTCTTCCTTTAAACTCTGGTACACATATTCCTCTTGCCCTGAGTGAGGTTCCAGGGTTAAAAACGCTACATTTCCCGCCCAAAGTTCGTAACTACTTGCGTTTACAATGTCATCGAAGTTGACAAAATCACTCGTGTTGTATTTTGCCAAACCATGATCGGAAGTAAATATAACGTTCACTTTATCGAGTAAGTTAGCCTTTCGCAGCTTTTCCACGAGATAGCCAACTACAGCAGAGTCGCTTTCCTCAATGGCATTCTCTGTTTTAGGTGAATCAGGCCCGTATGTGTGACCGGTTCTGCCAGGTTCCGCGAAATACATCGCTATAAAGTTTGGAGGCGCCTTCATGGTTAGCCATTTCATAACAAGGTCAATTCTCTCCTTTTCTGACATGATGTTGTCCTTAGAAACGAACGGTTTGGAATATTTCGCACCATCGCTGCTGAAACTGGGCAAATAGCCTCCAATGTTCACATCGTATCCCGGCCAGTAACTCAAGGCGCTTTTAAAACCTTGTTTCTGATTTGACACCCAGATTGGCTCCGCTCCATCCCACCATCTTGTTTCGTTATTACTGCGGAGAAACGTTGCGTTAAAATCCGGATCAAACATCTTGTTCGCAATAATCCCGTGGCTCTCAGGGTACAGACCTGTTACAATTGTGTACAAATTCGGCATGGCAACCGTCGGGAAAACGTTTTCAACGTACTTCGCCTTCACTCCGCCGCCAGCTATAAAGTCAAGATTTGGTGTGGATGCTTTCGACATGAAATCCCAGCGAAAACCGTCTAATGCAATCAAAATAACAGTTGAATTGCTTGCTGCTGTGCTCGACACGAAGCAAATATGCCAAGTGAGGTACACAAACAGCAACCTTTCGGCGAGCATTTTGCAGTCGCAGGACGGTTCACAGGTCTGTCAAAACCTAACCCACGCGTATAACACTTACTCATTAATTCACTTTGCAGAAAACAGCGACGCGCAACAAAAAAAATTTGCATATTTTAGTTGACTATTTCGTTGTGGTCAAAGAATTTGTTAAAGCAGCATGAGAGATGAACAGCTGGGTATGCAAATCATATATCACTTTCATGAAATCAAATCAAATCCATCCCAGAACCCCAGCTGAGTTAATAACTCGACAGATCCTGCAGTTAAAATCGATAAATTCCTTATTTCCTTTCGTATAGTTCATGTTTTTGCTAAATACACTTCCTTCTCCGATAGAGCGAGACATCGCGAAAAAACGAATTAAATTTAACAAGGTGACGCTACTTGCGTCTGCGCATAGACGTTATGTAATATTTCAGTTAGACACTCCAGGCATCGATTCCCATACCACTGTTGCTGCAGACTTAAGCACGTATTTTCAGCTTCGCGAGGCAAAGGTTATCTTCCAAAAGTCAATCAAATGCAAATTGGTTGTAATTTTATTGCAATCACCTTCCCCGATAGCGCAGACATATATTCCATCAAGGTTCTGGTACATAATTTTCAATGACAAGGCTATCTATAAAGTAAAATGAAAAATCACTATTGCGTGTAGTTTTAGCCATCTCTCTTACCAAGCCTATCTTTTCGCATACACAAAAAGGGTTTGGGTAAACACACATTTACATCAATTTGCATAGTTTACTTCAAAGCCGATTATAAGCACTGAGTTAATTAGCACATGACTTAAACTTTGCAAGGGGTACTAAATCGATCAATGGGCACGGGCACCCTAGCTAAGGTTTGACGGGAGGGGGGCCTGGGGTTGAATTGGTATCATTCGTAAGCGGTTACCAAAAAATGTCTTAGAGAAAATCGGGCAAAAACCCCACCGAACGATAGGGCAGAGAAAAACCTTCGCGAAAAAAATCTTAAAATGCGGCTCCAACTGGAAAAACACTGCTCATCATACTTGTCATAATCTAACTCGTCATTTGCGCACGAAACCTAAATTTGAAGATGTTTGTTTGTCACGTGTCACGCCAGTTCAATCTTCTCTTTGACAAATGTCTCGTGGAAAAGATGACAAAACAGTGTCACAGTTACTCTGGTTTCACTTTATTAGCTTATGAAATGATCGTGCTCGGTGAAAAACAAATAAAATGATTGTTGTAATACGGTGCCTGTATGTCGTCCTCTTGCTAACTTGAATTTGAATTACTGCAAAAAAAATGAATAGAAGGAAATCTCATTCATTGTGGCAGGGAACGTTTCACTGCACATGGATAAATTCAGGAAAATTCAACTTAAGTTATCTTTGCTCGGCTGAGATTCTGTGCTTACAGAACCCAGTCTCCTCAAATCAAAGACTTAAATCAAAGTAACCAACCCAGAAAAAAAGGTGATTAAGGAGAAAAACTGGGTCGAGACAACCTCACTCATCGATGTAAACGAAAAACCAATGCAATCGCAGATGACTTTCCACGTGCAATTAAAAATTACTTCAACCAATGGCAAGGCCCTTTGGGGCCGGTCATCATTTATCGTGGGGGGGGGGGGGGG